GGCGACAGTTTCACAGATCGCAGACCCCAGGGAGGGCGAGGTCTAATTTGGATCTGCCGCGATTACCCTCTATGCAGGACCCCCCAGCAGGCCTCGAAAGTGGCGACAGTTTCACAGATCGCAGCCCCCAGGGATGGCGAGGTCTAATTCGAATCTGCCGCGATTATTACCCTCTATGCAGGACCCCCCAGCAGGCCTCGAAAGTGGCGACAGTTTCACAGATCGCAGCCCCCCAGGGATGGCGAGGTCTAATTTGAATCCGCCGCGATTACCCTCTATGCAGGACCCCCCAGCAGGCCTCGAAAGTGGCGACAGTTTCACAGATCGCAGCCCCCAGGGATGGCGAGGTCTAATTTGAATCCGCCACGATTACCCTCTATGCAGGACCCCCCAGCAGGCCTCGAAAGTGGCGACAGTTTCACAGATCGCAGCCCCCCAGGGATGGCGAGGTCTAATTTGAATCCCCGTAGGACGTCACTCCGCTGGGCCCCCCAGCGTCCTCGAAAGTGGCGACAGTTTCACAGATCGCAGCCCCCCAGGGATGGCGAGGTCTAATTTGAATCCGCCGCGATTGCCCTCTATGCAGGACCCCCCAGCAGGCCTCGAAAGTGGCGACAGTTTCACATATCGCAGCCCCCCGCAGGCAAGACAGAAAGAGGCAGGAAAGAGGCGGGAGGCGGGAGGAGGAAGGACGCGACCACACTGCTCTATTCAAAACGAATACCCAACCAAGGAGGGTTGGGAATAAATAATACGATCACTACTACTACGACTTTTATCATTACTACTACTACTACTTCTACTACTACTACTACTACTACTACTACTACTACTACTACTACTACTACTACTACTACTACTACTACTACATTACTACTACATTACTACTACATTACTACTACTACTACTACTACTACTACTACTACTACTACTACTACTACTACTACTACTACTACTACTACTACTACTACTACTACTACTACTCCTACTCCTATTCCTACTCCTACTACTACTACTACTACTACGACGACTACTACTACTGGTACTTCTTCTTCTTCTCCTACTACTACTACTATAACTACTACTACTACTACTACTACTACTACTACTACTACTACTACTACTACTACTACTACTACTACTACTACTACTACTACTACTACTACTACTACTACTACTACTACTACTACTACTACTACTACTACTACTACTACTACTACTACGAGTACTACGACTACTACGACTACTACTACTACTACTACCACTACTACTACTACTACTACTACTACTACTGCTACTACCTATTACTACTACTACTACTACTACTACTACTACTACTACTACTACTACTACTACTACTACTATTACTACCACTACTACTACTACTACTACTACGACTGCGTCGGCGAACACCACTACTACTACCACCACCAATACCACTACTACTACTACCACCACTACTACTACTATTTACTACTACTACTACTACTACTACTACGATTACTACTACGACTACTACTACTACTCCTAATACTACTACTATTACTACTACTACTACTACTACTACTACTACTACTACTACTACTACTACTACTACTACTACCACTAGTACTACTACTACTACTACTACTACTACTACTACTACTATACTACTACTACAACTACTACGACTACTACTACTACTAAATACTACTACTACTATTACTACTACTACACTACTAACTACTAACTGCAAACTGAGTACGGCGCGGTACTACTAATACTACTACTACTACTACTACTACTAACTACTACTACTACTGAGTATCTAGTATCTACTACGACTAGCTACTACTACTACTACTACTACTGACGAACTACGACTACTATTACTACTACTAACTACTACTACTACTACTACGATTCACTAACTCCTACTATTTCTACTATACTACTACTACGACTACTAACTAACTAACTACCACTACTACTACACTACTACTACTACACTACTACTAACTACTACTCCTACTACTACTACTACTACTACTACTACTACTACTACTACTACACTACACTACTACTACTACTACTACTACTATTACTACTACTACTACTACTACTACTACTACTACTGCTGCTACTACTACTACAACTACTATTACTACTACTGCCACTACGACGGCTACTACTACGACGACTACTACGACGACCACTACTACTACTACTACTACTACTACTACTACTACTACTACTACTACTACCACTACTACTCCTACTACTACAACGAATACTACCACTACTACTGATACTACGACCACAACTACCACTACATCGACTACGACTACACCCACCACCACCACTACCACCACTACTACGACTACTGCTACTACTACTACTACTACTACTACTACTACTACTAGTACGACTACTTCCACTTCTACTACTACTACGACTGCTACTACCACTACTACTATTACTACTACTACTACTACTACTACTACTACTACTACTACTACTACTACTACTACTAGGACTACGACTTCTTCCTGTGTTACTACTAAGACTACTACTACTACTACCACTACTACTACGTCTACTGATACTACAACTTACTATTAAACTTCTATTTATAATTCTACCTGTACGTCTACTTCTACTTCTACTACTACTACTACTACTACTACTACTACTACTACTACTACTATTACTACTACTACTACTACTACTACTACTGCTGCTGCTACTGCTACTACGACCACTGCTGCTACTGCTACAATGAAAATTAGTAAGACTCAAAACTACTACTACTACTACTACTACTACTACTACTACTACTACTACTACTACTACTATACTACTACTACTACTACTACTAGCACCACTACTACTACTACTACTACTACTACTACTACTACTACTACTACTACTACGACTACGACTACTACTACTACTACTACTACTACTACTACTACTACTACTACTACTGCTAACAATAGTACGGCGACGAGTACTACTACTACTACTACTACTACTACTACTACTACTACTACTACTACTGCTGCTACTACTACTACTACTACTACTACTACTACTACTACTGCTACTGCTACTGCTGCTGGTGCTGCTGCTGCTAACAACACTACGACCATAGTCCGACGGCTTGGTCAGGCTGTGGCCCAACGTTTGGCCACATGGGCGTTTCCAAAAGGCAAGGGGGCGGTGGTTCGACAAATGCGGTTTCTGTACTGACCTCGATGATATACTTCTCCAACCCTGCGCACTCACTGCCACACGGCGGCAGCAGCACCAGCAAGTTGGCAACAGCGAAAGCAGAGCGACGGCAGACATCTGCCACACCGTCCGACTCACATACCTCACCCCGCCGTTGTGGTACAGAAGACGGCAGCACGTAATGGCAACCGACACGGTGTACTAAAGAACTGAAGCAACACCAACATACCAGGCAGCCTGCAACCACCCAAGCAGGCAGGCAAGCACCCTCACCTCCTCCACATCCTCATCCTGAACTCCGAATACCAATTCGCATTCACAAAGTGACCATAAGGCCCCCTCACCAACCCTCGCATGGCTCCCCGCACACCCGCTCATTCTAGACGTTCGCCCTGCCGCCTGCCCACTCATCTTCCCCTATATTAATTTGTGTGGGGAGACTATGGGTGATGGAAGAACCTCTCCCAGACGCAAGCTGTTTTGCTCAGTCCTGCCCGCCCTCCCAATGCACAAGTAGTACCCGAATCTCAGCATGTTCAGCGGTCGTCGTTGGATGGCCATCTACAGAGAACTAGTACAGACCCCAGGTGCGCGACGCTGGGGCGAGGTGCGCCACGCGTGGCAGGCACGCCACTCACACCAGGCGTGCCAGGCGCCCATGGGGTCCAAGCGTGTCATGCACGCCTGGTGCGTCACGTGCTCCACGTGCTTCACGTGAGCCAAGCGTGCCGCATGCTCTAGCCGCGCCACGGTCGGGGCACGCGCATAATGTGCCAGGTGCGCCCGCGCACGTCGGGAAGCATGTCGGCCCCCGCCATCATTGTCCAAAGTCAAGGCACAATCGCGGCGGGGTGGCCGTCACGATGTCTGGTGGGCCTGCACACAGCAGGCAATACGCCAGCACCCCCGCCGCCCGTGTCAAAAACGAATGCAGAATGACGGAGTGTCCGCGCATGATCCAAATGTAGCCGAGAAATGTAGTTTGCATTGGCTTCTGATAGGGATGGTAGTCCTGCATACAGCAGGCGGTGAACATTAAACAAGAGCAGTGATCAAGGAGGGACGGGAGGGCAACTAGAGGTCAACGTTGGCACTGGCCGCCATAGGTTTTGGTCCCGGATGGCCGCGGACCACCTCGACCAAGCCTGGCTGCCACACGCCGCCTCATCAGCTCGACTCTCCCTTCCACCTACTCTCCTCTTGCCATCGACCGCTGCCACACCTTCGAAACGGGGACTGGGGCGGGCGAGCAGGGAGGCATGGGAGGTCGCCGTAGGCGCTGGCAGCCTCACAAGTTTGTCTCTCCCACTCCCAGCCTCATCCATTCATTTGCCCTTCAGAGCGCACCCTCCTCTCCCCCACCCACCACGCTTCTGCCGCGCACACCCGGGCTCGCAACTCGGACCCTAACCGGTTCTGCTTCCTCGCTAGACTCACTTCCTCCCCACCACTGTCGAGCACCGTCCGAAAATCTATCAGGCGTGACTACATCAGTTTCCGCCTGCACCACCCCCTCCCACGCCCGTCCCATTCCATGAGAGCTTCTGTCGCAGTGCCTCCGTCGTCCCACCGTGTTGTCGTCCCCATTCCTCTTCCCATCACCTCTTCACATTTCCTTGAGAGCTGTGTTCCTCCCTCTCACCAGGAAAAAGCCGCGGGCAGGGGTACCCAATGCATCAGGTGTGACCATCGACGGTGCCTCAAGCTCGAAGCTCGGAGGGAGAGGGGGAGGGGCTGTAGAGGGAGGAGGGAGGGTGGCCATCCCTCCCAGAGGCGGCGGCGCTGGCCTGCACCTTTCGGTTCCCCGGAGCGGAGAATCCTGGAGGTCTCCGCGGACGCCACGAGAAGAAACAGGCCTGCCCTCGCTCCCATCCCCAAAGTTTCCTCCTCAATATCGTGAATTCCCCTCCCCGCCCCCCACCCGATTCAAATCCCTGCCAAGCCTCCTCCTCCTCCTCCTCCTCCTCCTCCTCCTCCTCCTCCTCCTCCTGCTCTTCCTATTCCTCAACATCCTCATCCTCATCCTCATCATCACCATCATCAGCAGCAGCATCATCATCAGCATCATCATCGTCATCATCATCAGCATCACCATCATCATGAGCATGTTCATCCCCATCCCCATCATCATCAGCAGTCGCACCGTGCTCATCGACAACAAGAACAATAACAACAACCACAACAACAATAACAACAACCACAATCGTTGGAAGACTGTTCGCCCTTATCTGCTCGAGTGTCCAAGAACGCTTATTTCCCAAACCCTCGATACCAGCCCTGTTCGTCTTCGATCGAATCCCTTTGGGGGGGTATACCTTTCTTCCCTGCAGGCCGGGCCCCGTCAAGCGGCGGGGCGGCCGCGGACCGCCGGCCTGGCCAGCGGCAGCGCTGATCGGCGGGGCGGCCGCGGACCGTCGTCCCGACCCCCAAGAGGGACGGAGAGGGGACCGACCACGACGACGATGACGACGACGTCGACGACGACGGCGACGACGACGACGACGGCGACGGCGACGACGAGCGAAAGCGAGAGCCAGAGAGATCGACAGCAGGGCCACGAAGGGCCCGAAGTAGGCCACGAAAGGCGACAGCGGGGACTCGAAGGGAATGCGTATGGGGCCACGAAGAGCGCGAACGAGCGGGGACCACGAAGGGCAGATACTGCGGGGCCACAGAAGGCAACGATGGGGCCACAGAGGGTAGCAACTGGGCCACGTAGGACAGTGAGGGGGCCACAAGCGGTGACAGCGGGGCCACGAAGGGCATGCACATGGGGCCACAACGGGCGCGACTCCTGGGTGCCTGGGTGTCGGGAGCGCGACGCTTGAGCAAATTACAAGAAATTCCAACGCAAGGGCGCTATTCTTCAGTGAACTGCAAGCAACTCTCTAGAGAGAGCACGATTCCAGACCGCCGGGAGAGCGATGCCTGAATAAATCGTGAGAAGACCCAAGCGACAGCGCGATTCCTAAATTAAAAATGCGAGGACGTCTCGGGCGGGAGCGGGGGTCCTGGCTACATTGTGAGGAGGTCTCAGCCGGGAGCCGTTTTTGTTGCAACCAGGGGGCAAGGGGCACAGCTAGGGCATCAAGATTTCCCTGTCAGAAAACCGGGTGCGAGCGTCGAGGGGCCCACTTTGATTGAGAAAAACAGCATGCGCCGGTGAAGGGGGATCAACAATAATCATTTTTCAGAAGTGACAACTCAACCACAACAACAGCAGCGGCAGCAACAACAACAACACCAACATCAACACCAACAGCAACATCAACGAGAACAACCACAACCACAACAACAACAACAACAACAACAACAACAACAACAACAACAACAACAACAACAACAACAACAATTACTAGCACGTGGGGACACTCCGTTCTCACCAGTGCCAGGGTTTTCATACGAGCCCGCCAATACCCCCACTTTGTGGGGGGGCCGGTTCAAGCTCTACCACATTTCCAAACGACTCTTCGCCACCACCCACACCCAGCTTCCCGCCCTATGACGTTCGGACACTTCACTTCGTGGCCTGCGGACGACCGTGGCTACTACACTGGCGCATGGGTACAGTGACTTGTTGTGGTAACATTTTCTGGACGCTAGCTTAGTATACGACTTTTCCCCCTGTTCCAAAACAGTACTGGTTTTTCGAGGACCTACGGTGCGATTCGTATGATTTTATGTTGCGCGGTGCTAAAATTCCTAAGAAACCCAATGGTTTTTGAAGATTTCGGCGTGCGCGCGCGAAGAAAAAACGAATGTGTCCCGCATGGTATTATTTGACAGGGATGATGGCCCTGGCAGGTGCGCAACCGTTGTTGGAGAAGTTCGAAGCACGTGAAAAAGTTGCTCGCAAAAGCCCGTTTGACAGAAATGTTTAAAAGTGTTGGGTTTCCTACAAATCCGCAAGAGCGCGCGGGATGAAATTTTGACATTTTTTGGGAAAAACCATTGGTTTTTTATGTTTTTTTATGTTAAAATCGCTACGAACACTAAGGTTTTGGAAGGATTTCGTCTTGCGCGCGCGAATGTCCACTTTACCTCATTTTTTGCAAGGGATTCTTGAAGTTTGGTTATGTTAGAACAAGAAATGTCCACTTTGCCTTATTTTTTGCAAGGGAAAACCGCCCGTAACAAAACAACCGGATCCGGACCAACCCGTTTTGCCGGAGACTTCCTCACGAAAATGATGAAAACATGGCTGCGGCCTAGGCGCGGCGAGGGGGCCGTGCACCAGGGGCCCCAACAATAATTATTCTTTAGGAGTAATAATGTTCAACAACAACACCAACAACAACAACCACAACCACAACCACAACCACAACCACAACCACAATCATAACCACAAAAACACGTTTATCCAAATATCCAGATCCGCCATTCGCATCAGCATCATCAACATCAAACCATTGTCACCACCGATATACTCATCCGTATCATCACCAGCACCATCATCATCATCATCATCATCATTGCCATTATCACCGTCAGAATCATCGTCACAATCTCCACCAGCACTATCGACAATAAGTTCCCCAGTATCCTCTCACATCAGGAATCATTATCGATCCCTCCTCCTCCCACGCCAAGGCCATCCTCCCACATAAAGCGGCGCGCAAAGGACACGCGACAGGACATAAGACTCTTCCGACGCTCAAAAGAACATAGCGGCACGTTCCGAGCCCGCGGCCGCGGTCATCGACGGCCGACCCGCAGCCTCGCGAAGGGGGGCGCACACAGGAGAGGACGCCAAGGGTGTACAACCAGCCGCGTTATCCACCGCGTGAGAACTGCAGCATGGCGCGCCGCCCGCGCCCACCCCCTTTTCCCCAGGGGAGCGATGGCGCGACCGGTCGCCATGGGAGAGGACCACAAGACAGGGGCGTGGCCGCGGACATCGCAAACGAAGGAACGCGCAGACCACCCTCCCACGGCGAGACGACCTGTCGCAATGGCACAGAATCAAGGAACAGGGGCACGGCCGCGGACATCACAAACGAGAAGACACTCAGACCAGCCTCCCGCGTCAGGCCTAAGGTAAGCATAACCTGGGACCACCCAGGTCTGCCGCACAAAGGTGACCATGGTCACCTGCGTGCACGCGTTGGGCGTTGCGCACAATTCATCAACAAACAATTCCCAACGCCAACCTGTAGTTTGGATGGTTGTTTAATGCCATACGCAAGACCAAAAGGCGACTAGCTTACTGCGAGCACTCGAAAAACGGTCCACGCGCGCACCCGCGAGCATTGGGCATTGCGCACAGCCCCTCGTTCAAAGTACTGAAGGCCATGCTATGTTCGAAATCAAGTCATTCACCGCTAGGGAACACTTAAATCACAGGCCAACATGGCGACTTCTCGATTCCGGTCTCTACAAAAACGCCCCACGCCTGCACGAACGCGGGAGACCACGGTCACCCCCGCGGCCCCGCGCGTTGGGCGTCGCGCACGGAGCCCAGCGTAAAGAAGATGTCCAACCGAAAGGATGTCAGTTTCGAATTGCAAACGGTCACAACACAGGCACCACCACTCTCTTTCAAGGCCAACATGGTTTCTTCTCTAATGTGGGTAATACACAGACGCTACACCCGCGCGCACGTGCGAAGCTTTCCATGGCCACACGCGCGCGCGTCAGGCGCTGCGCACAGCCCATCACAATCGAGATGGAAGCCCAGCATACTTAAATTTCGAAGTCCATTGCATCACCGCTACAGCAACACTTTAGTTTCCAGGTCACCATGGCGACGTTTCTCTCGTAGGCAATACAAGAACGCCACACGCGCGCGCGTTGGAAGCTCTGCTCAGAACGTAATGGTAAGCACGGACACACCCAACCATGTTACCTTGGCCATGATATAAGTCACGGCTACAAACAGATTTGGTTCCAAAGCCAACATTGCGAATTGCCTAGCCTTGTCCACCACGAAAGCGCCACCCGCGCACACCCACACGATAAACATTGTGCAATGCCCGTCATAGAGAGGGCACATACTATGAACTATTTGGAATTCGAGCTCCGCTCTTTCGTTGCTACGGCAGCTTGTTTCCAAGCCAACATCGCGACTTCCCTTTTCTGCGCAGCGCAAGAACTCTCCATTTGCGCACCCGCGCGTTGGGCGTTTTCTTTTGAAACCCAGTCTTTCAAGATTGACCGAGTTTCGCTCGTGGAAGCGCATGGAGGCTCTGAGTTCGGCGAAGCCGTGCGTGTCTGAGAATACCCGGACAGCGGATGACGCTGGCGTGGACGGAATGAGAACGGGCCACAAGGGCTAGGGACATGGAGCAAAGGGAGGGAAGCAAATGGAAGGACAAGAAAAAGGAGGTGGACGGGATGAGGATGCGACGGCGTGGGGGGCAAGGAACAAGAGGTGGAGGGAAGGCTAGACCCAACGGAAGACACATGAAAAAGGATAAGGAAACGACGGAATGAAACGCAAACCCTACGAAACGCTGGGGGGGGGCCTACGCGGCAGGGCCTTGGGTAGGCTTCGGGGGCGGTCCCAAGGTAACCTAAGGGAAAAAAACCCGGGGCGGGACTGGAGTGGGCATTCCTCGGGGCCCTTGAAGCTGCTGGCGACAATGCCGAAACTGGCAGCCCCCAGGGGACGCGAGCTCCCACATGATTCCACCAAATCGTCGCCTCCACTGCCCAGGAGCCCACCCAAGCGAAACCAATGTGGAGGACGCCAAAAATATGTTTTGCACGCATCGCGACCTCTGCCCGGGTGCGACGACGAATGTAACACAACAATGCCCTTGATGCGGCAGGGCCCGCCCAATAATCAACTCGGACAATTTTTTCGGGGGGGGGGGCACGGCCGCGAAAACTCCCGCGACGCGGCAGCCACCACACTGCGAGATCATTCAACGGCAGCGTGAAGAACAGAAACGCACAGCGGTGCCCATAAAGGCGCACGCCGCAATGCGTACATCGACCCTAGTCGGCAGAGCCCCTCGGGTCGAACAAGAAGCTGCGTGGGGACGGGATGCCGCGGGGACTAATATCAACGGAAAACGGAAGAGGCATATCGAATGCGCGCGAAGCGCATCCGAACACATGCCAAAAATCTGGCGAAGGAAAGGGGACGGGGGAGGGGGGGAGAGGGACATGAGGACGGGGAAGAGGAGGAGGACGAAGAAAAAAAGGAGAGGAGGAGGAGGAGGGGGAGGACGAGGAGGAGAGAGAAATAAAGAGAAACAGGAGAATACAATGTTCAGCCCCCCCCCCCCAAAAAAAAAAAGGCAAGAGCAACATCGACCCCGCTAGGGGGGGACATAGGATCCTAAGCAAATCTTCGGACCCACCTGCAGAAGAAAATAAAATGCAACAAAAAAAGGAGGGAGGAGCGGTGGGCTGAGGAAGGGGCAGATTGAGCAGGAGCAAACAAATTCCTCCATCGTCGCCGCGCGGCGCGCCGCGGCCATGGCAGGCCGGCGCAGGACTTTGCACGCGGGCGGGCCCGGCGAAAACCAGCTTAGCGCTACGACGGAGAACGCAGAGGGAGGGGGGGGGGGAGGCGGAGAGGAGGGGGGGAGGAGGAGGAGGAAGGCGGAAGCGGGGAGGAGGACCGCCCTCACACGCGCCATGGCCCTCCGCATGCTCCAGCCGGAGACTACCACCTGGCACGACGAACCCTCGGAGGAGCGAGGGGCGGAGGGAAGGATGAGCTCACATAAAGCCGAAGGCATCGGCGCAGTTACATCACATGCTCGATGATGTCCGCTGCCTGCCGACACGCACCTTGCCGAACCAGCTGCCCGCCGTAGATTGGTTTGCGCTCGTAGAAGCGCAGACTATGCCTCGGCCACCCCCCCTCTTCTTGGCGGCCATGGCGGCTGGCCAGATCGACGGCTCGCAACTTCCCAACGCATCCGTGGCAACATCGAGCACGCTCCTCCCCCTCACCTCCGAGGCTTCGACGGGCCAGATGGCTGCGGACCTAGCCGGCAGTGGCGGGGACAGTGGTGGGGACAATGGTGGGAACAGGGGGGACAGTGGACAGTGGCGGGGACGGTGGTGGTGGGGACAGCGGTGCGGGCAGTGGGAATGAGGTGGAAACAGTGGGACAGTGGAGGGTACAATGGTAGTGGGGACAATCATGAAGGCGGTGGCGAGGACGGCGGCGGGACAATGGGACAGAGGTACAGCGGGGACAGCGGTGGGGACAGTCGGGACAGTGGCGGGAACAGTGAGACAGCTCAGTGGGACAGCGGCGGAGTCAGTGGGACAGTGGGGACAGTGGGGATAGTCGGGCAGTGGTTGGGGCCGTGGAGACAGTGGGGAGAGTGGAACCGTGGTGGGAACAGTGGTGGGGACAGTGGGGACAGTGCGACAGTGGTGGGGGAACTGGTGAGGACACAGCGGGGGCAGCGGTGGTGAGGACAGTGGCGCTGGGAACAACAGTGGAGGATGTGATGCGGACGGTGGTAGGGACCGGGAGTCGTTTGCTGGCGGTGAATGGGGGGGTGGGGAGGGGTTCGAACTGGCGGTAGTGATCCCCCTCCGGTTTTCGAGGGGGGGGGTTCGAACCGGTAGTGACCCCCCCCCCGGTTTTCCGGATCCGGAGGGGGGGGGAGGGGTTCGAACGGGTAGGGACCCCCCCCCCCCCCGGTTTTCGAAGGGGAGGGGGGGGGGTTAGGGGGGAGGGTGGGTTTTGCCAGGGGAGGGGGGGGGGGGGGGGGAAGGGAGGGGCCCCAGCAGGGGAGGGGGGGGGGGGGGGGGGGGGGGGCGGGAGGGAGGGGGGGGGGGGGGAGCGACCCCCGGGTTCCGGAGGAAAAGGTTGGCAATTTTCCACCGTAAAGCGGCGGTGGATCACGCTCTCTCGAATCTGCCAGCCCTTACGGGCGTGGACACCTCCGAGCGCATTGCCTCGATTGCGAAAGCCGCTGTGAGCGACTGGCGGCTCCACGTCGTGAGGTCGCCCCGCGCCCCCCCGAAGTTGGCCTCGAGCTCGTCGCTGTCCATCTTAGCGGGTTCCTGCTTGAGGCTCTCCGGCTGGTCGGTCTCTGACGTTTCCGGCTTCCCAGGGATCACGCCCCGATTATCAGACTCTGGCGGCGTCCAAATTCAGGTCGGGCGCACTGATGTCTGGCATGATCAGCCATGTGGCTCGCATGTCCTTTACCCGAACTCCTCGCCATTGTTGCACAGGGTCCTCTCCTCAAGCTGCTGGTCTTCAATCGGTCGGCCCGTGTCTTTCGTGACCGTGATCTTCACGACCTGGATGATGCCCCTGTCCTCCATGCCCCAGCCGATGCAAACGTGCATGACGTCCGCGACAGACG